GAAGGTTTACGACCTATATGCACAGGGAAAGGTGGAGGAAGCTCAAAAGCTGCAAGCAGTTGTAGCGCGAGGCGATTGGGGAGTGATCGCTGGCGGCATCACGGGCACCAAGAGTGCGATGCAGTCATACTTTGGATATGGGGGCTACACCCGGCGGCCACTACCTAGACCGACCAAGGAGGAAGTGGCCAAGTGGGAGGAGATGTTGAAGGAGGCTGTTGAGCTCGAGAACTCTCTGTGAAAGGTGCGGCTGGTGCAACGAGAGACTTTGGATAGACGAAGGTGACATGGGAGGAGGCTGCACTGCTATGCTACCAATGCTGCTTTTGACAATGCTCGACCGTGAGCGTGAACGAACTAGTCCATGGAGAGTCATCTTGAACCAAGGAAGGTTGTTGAGATACCATTTTTTCTGATGAGGCTCAATGTCGAGCACGGAAGACCATCGAGATCTCTTCGTGGCCCAGTGAGGACATGACACGATCTATACCAAGTCCGTACGGGACCCGAGAACTTGGGTTACGCAGCTACCTAGAAGTAGCCCCCAAGTGGCTAACGGCCCTTACTTAGCAACTGCCTAGGGATGCTAGGGCATCTAGGTGTCTGTAGGTGTGCCGTTAGTCTGCTTGGCACCCCTAATGACCGCTAATGACTTTCCTGGTACCCCTAACGCCCTTAACTTTCCCCCAGGATGCTCTCTAGCTATACTTGTAGGTACACACTGAGCAGATGCCGCGTAACTGCGCCCTCATTTTCATCGCGAGCCAAGCTTTCATCTTCTCTCGTTTCAACTTGAATTCCACCTCACTTTCTTCATTCCATTTCTCACTTCTCACTTCAACCTCTTCCTGTTTCAAATCCAGCTGACGCCCATATTGCATGTTTCAATCTCAGCTCTGCCAACGCCTCCCTGCATCATTCCAAACTGGACCCTCTCCGTGCCATCTTCGTCCGCCATGGCGCGACATGCCCATTGGACTTGATGCGGGTCAGACGCATCTCGGGAGTCTGTTCCAAAGGCCAACGCACAAGCGACATGAGACGTACATGATGGCCGCCTCGGTCTACCAACTAAACTAAACTCTGTCTCGTTGCCCGAATCTCTGGGCCATCAGGCCATTGGCGATAACTGCCTCCTTGTCAAAAAGAGATAGACAAGCGAGGCCGACTTGGCCGACCACGTTGTCTCCATGTCACTGTCAGGTTAATTTCCCGGATTCGCATTAAGCGATCGTCACCCTCAGCATCTTTTTCCAGTCAAAGTGACAACGCAGCACCCGCCGTTCTTACATCTGGCCGTCTCTGACTGGTGTCGTGTATCCGCCGACCTCTCAGCCTCCGCCTGCAGCTTTCCGCATGAACGGCTCTGCATCGCCTCCGGAATTCTACTCGGTAGTCACTGTAGCACTCCCGGCAAGGCAGACGCAAGCCCCGCCTCGAGAAAAGAAAAAAAAGGCAAGCTGATCGTGACCGCCAGTTTCATCATGGGCCAGCTCACCTTGGTCAAACAGCTCTCATTTCGTTCCATTTCATTGCTTTAATTGTCTTCGTTTTCCTTTCCTTTGCTATTCTTGAATAGAATTCGAGAAAAATGCCCCAATGGCTAATAATCTAGACATCGACCATGGCGACCACCAACACGATTCTCTGGCGTCTGTCACCGACTGTATCTTGGGCCTCAGAAAGAAGGTCGACAGCAACGAGCTCCCAGGCTTCGTGGAGCTGATAGACGACTGGTTTGATCCAAAAGTCGAGGTGGACGAAGAGCAGTTCGTCCGCCGGTTTCTGCATACTTTCAAACAGACCGATAAAGATTTCACCTATGAGAAAATCATCGGCGACTATGACGACGACGTGCAGGAAATCTTCAACGACTTTGTCGACGGCAAGATTGACGCCAAAGAAGCTGGTCAACGATACACTCAGGTTACTGCGGACAAAGGCCCAGTATTCAAGCGGGATATACGTCGAGGGGGTCTTGCTGCTGCCATCCCGGACGGGCCAAACATCCTCTCCGAACCGATCAACTTGTTGAAGGCAGCTCCAACGAGCATCCCTTCTCGCATTCGAGGGTTGTTTGCAAAGCTCTTCCCATCTCTGAAAGACCCCAGTCGCGCACTGTATATTCCGGTATGGTCCTAACATGCCGTTGGCCCCAGTAATCGCCGCTCACCAAGCCTCCACAGACCTACAAGAACCTCGAGTTTCTCAACCACGGCCGCACGGTGGAAAATACCCCTGCACTGACATGTGTGCCCAATACTGCTCAAGATGTGTGCGATATCATCAAATTTGCGAAGAAGCAGAACATGGGTGTTCGTGCCTCTGGGTTTCGTAGGTCCCCCGTCACCCCCAAGCATGGACTTCCGCAGCCGTGTCTGCTTACTAAACTGCGCCCCAGGTCATTCATGGTCTCCGGTCTTTGGTCGATCCAACAAGAAAGGTAGCGAGAATAATGGAGACATCCTGATTTCAACGCTGGGGCTTATCGACGCTTCGGTCCTGCCGAATCTCACGTCCCTACCGACTGATATCTTCCAACCTCGAGCGAAGGACCTCAACTCGATTGTGGTCGTCGATTACACCTATGTCAGAGGTCCTCAGCTCACCGGCGGCAAGAAGTATGTTCGAGTCGGGACATCGACAACCAACGAGCAGCTTCGCAGATGGTGCATTGACACTGGCAAAGTTACCATGCCAATGAATATTGTGGAAGTTGAAATCACAATGGGAGGCAGCAATGCCACGATTTGGTTTGTTTCCCCTGCCAAAGCTTTGGTGATGAAGCGGCCATACTAACCTACCATTTCCAGCCATGGTGGTGGTATTCAAAATCCAACCATCTCCGATCTCGTCCGTTGTATGGAATATGTCGACGTCAACGGCGTACTCCGCAAAATTGACATGTCTACTCCTGATATTCTCAGAGCCGCTGCAGGCTGTTTCGGTCTCATCGGCATCGTCACCCATCTCGTCCTTGAGCTGGACCCACTGTCGTGTGCTCTTATGGAACCCCGCAAACTTCCTGTCATCGAAGCGATTCCTCCTCCACCAGGTATGCCAGATTCGGCCATTCCTGCCCCTCTGCGGCCGAAGAATCCTTTGAGCGCAGACCGAAAGGCCGAGATCCAACGAGACTTTGAAACTCGCGCTACGACAACCGACTACGCCGAGTGGTTCTGGTTTCCTTATTCAAGTGAAGTCTGGGTCAACACCTGGCACAAGACACTCGATACATCCAATGCAGTGACCTATCCGAGCGACGCAAAGACCATCTTGCAGGTTTTTGGCACTTTCATGGTCCAAATCGCGCAGGACGCGACGATCCTGCTGAAATTGACCGAGGCACTTCCGGAGACGCAGACGAAGCTGCTCACCTGGCTGTCGATGAAGAACTTGGATGACGTCGGTCCGAGTGGGAAGGTCATCAAGACTTGGGTTCCTGACGCATTACACTTCCAGAGGGGTGTCCAAAATCTTCGGGTGAGAGATTTAGAAGTGGAATTTCCTCTGCAACCGAAAGTGAAGCCAGATGTCAATGGAGCAGCCAACGGAATTGGTAATGGCCACGCTAATGGCACCGCCAATGGAACCGCCAACGGTGCAGTAACAACGGCACCACCCCCCAAGAGCAAAGAGATTGACTTGACCCTCGTACAACAAGCGTGGTGGGATGCTATCCTCTCCTGTTACGCCGCGATCAAAACTTGTCCTCAACGCATGCCCCTCGAGATGCGCATCATGGCTGGGTCACAGGTGACTCTTGCGCCACAACGAGGTCATGCGCTGGGAACGTGCGCGATTGAGATTCTCAGTCTGCACAACGTCGCGGATATCTGGCCAGCTTATGCACAGAAAGTCTTGGACAAGTGGACGAGCTATAAAGACCACGAAGGCAAAATGATACCTGTGCGTGCGCACTGGGCAAAAGAGTGGTATGGATATACTGTGCATGGGAGACGGTGGGAGGAAATCTTTAGAGGAGAAGAGAGCCAGAATGGCGGGTTCAAGAACGAGATCGCCGAGTGGAGGGGCCTAGTGGGGAGGTTGGCAACCAGAGATGGCTGGAAAATCCAAGATGCGAGGAGCAGGTTTGGAAACGAACTTCTCGACTGGATGTTTTGGCAAGATGGGTCGGCGAAGGTGGCTGCGCCGAATGGGGTGGCTGTCAGTGCTTCAAAGAAGGGGGAGAAGAAGCCCGGAATTGCTAAGCGGGTTTTCAAGAGCTGCTTTGGGAAATGAAGCTCGAAGAAGATTGAAAATGTGGGATGGATGTACTGCTTTACTTGCTGAGTCGATTCGATGGAATGGTTGTTGTTCTCGATGACCCCGATACCAACCGATACCACGAGTTTTGCGCGACACTGATGGATACCAACACGACACGAAAACTACGACAGGCCTCGCGGCTACCTACTTACTCACCTGTTATGTTACGACGGCTACGTTCTACGGCATGATGACACGATGCATGCACGCATGTAATATTCTGTTGACGACACCCGACGGGTTCTTTTATGATTACGACTGTTATCATCTCACGACGACCAACGACAACGACCACGATGAGGATGTAAGGGTTTTTGGCACTGATCAAGGAAATGACATCTCACTCACAATGGCATCTAATGCTCTATTTGCCTCTGTTGTTGTTATTGTGGCCGTCTGGTAATTTTTGTTTACAAAGTAATGAGGGAATGAATGCTATTTAGCGTTGGTCACCTTGAGGCCATGATTGAATCTACATAACTACACACCTAGATCTAGTATCCGTTCCATGGTGTATCCGTCGTATTTTGTACTAGAGAGAACTACCTATCTATATAGGTAGGGAGGTATCTACGAGGGCACTTTATCTGCTTTCCTCCCGTTGGGCTTTCAGCTATGCTATGTCTTTGTCCCTGTCCCTCTCCAAGTCCAGGTCTGTCTCCGTCTAATGATGATCTTACTTTATGAGTTACGGGTTATGAGACCAGATATCCAACCACCTGATCAGAAAATCAATACCCTTTATGCCGATCGAGCAGGTTAAACATCTTCTCGCCCCTCTCGTGCCGTGCCCAATTCACCATGAAGACGTCGAACGCACGCAGCGCGTACTCGGTGCCGTGCCCGCTGATATGCGGCGTGATGATGACGTTCTTCGTGTCCCAGAGGGGGTCGTCACTGGGGAGGGGTTCCGGGTCCGTGACGTCGAGGGCCGCGCCGAGGAGGACGCCGTTGTCGAGCGCGGCTTTCAGCGCGGGCTGGTCGACCAGGGCCCCGCGGGCGATGTTGATCAGATAGGCCGAGCGGGATTTTTTGGGCGTGCCGTCGGCAGCGTGGGTCGTGTTGGCGAGGATCTCGAACTCGCGCGTCGAAAAGAGGTGGCGGGTCGAGGGCGTCAAGGGCAGAGAGATGACCAGTGCGTCCAGCCCTGATGACAGGAACGCGTGCAGCGATTCCTTCGTCGTCCCGGAGTACCACGCCCGCGGGACCGTGCCGTCTGGGTCGCCCGTGCCGGGGACGATGTAGCCGTTGTCCTTTCTCGATTCTTTTTTTCCTCGTGCCCCATGGGCCACGGGGCCACGGCATGTGTTTAGTAGTGCCTTTCCGGGAACTGAGGGCAGGGAGGAGGACATCTATTCCTCACGGCTAAGGGGAGGAGAGGAGAGAAAGGGAATAACTTGCAAGAGACTCACCGGGTGTTGCGCGCGCACCCGCCGTGTAGGCGTGAATATTCGATCCAAGAGCCTTGAAGACACGTGCGGCTGTTTCCCCCCCGAGAACATTAGCTGAAGGCTCAATACACCTTTTCCACTGACTGGCAGAGGATAAGATGTAGGAGAAGAAGGAAAGTGGGAAAACACTGACCTTGACGCCCGATACTCCCGTATCCGGCAATCCCGACCGTCTTGCCTACCCAGTCCGTGCCGTCAACCAACATCTCCCGACCGGTGCCCCAGTGATGCTGCTTCTGCCACTCGTACTCGGTGGCGTAGCGCCTGCTGAGGACGAGGGTGGTCATGACGATCCACTCGGCGATCGGGGGCCCGTGGATGCCCGAGGACGAGGTGATGGGGATGTCGCTGTCGGTGACGATGGGATGGTTGCTGTAGTGGTCGAAGCCGGCCATGAAGAGGTGGATGAGTTTGAGGCTGTTCGGGGTATATGGTAAGAAATCAAGTCGCCCCCCTTTTTGGGAGAAAGGTGGACAGTAATCACCACGTACTTGGGAGCATCTTCGGCGCGCGCGGGGAGGGATGACAGGGTGATCAGGATGGTGACCCATTGCCATAGCTCTGGAGGGGTGTGTCGAGAAGAGAGACGTGGTCAGTCGACGACATATATGAGTGGTGGTGGTGGTGATGGTGATGATGGTGATGATGGCGATATCGCAGTGAGTGAGATAAGGAAGGACAAAGGATAACCAGTTCCGCCTCTTCATCTTCCTCTTCCTCTTCTTCCTACCCCTCGATTCCCATCCTAACTCTTCACCTCCCCTCCCCTTCTCCTCATCCTTACCATGAACCAGACCAACCCCCAACCCCTTCCAAACCAGCAAAACAGAACGAAACACTCACCCTGTGGAACCTGCCCTCTCTTGTCCACAATCTGCCCTCCTTCGGGGGGAAGTTGTTGAAAGTATTTAATCTCAAAATGCGGGAATCGCCGCTGAATCTCGGCCGTGACATCCTTGGGCTCGGGCTGCCACAGGACGATGAGGAGGTGTTCCTTTTCGGGGCCGCCTCCCATTGTTTCTTTACTTGTTTGCTATCTGGCTGGCTGGCTGTGTGGTGGTGACTGTGTCTAAAGAAGTGAAAGTCTCCAAGAAATGTTCTCACAAAGAATAAGCAGCGAGGGAACGGCAGCTGAAGCTGGGAGAAATAGATAACGGGCAACCCAACGAGGAAAAGAAAGGGAATCAGAGAGGGAGAGAGAGAGAGAGTAAGAATGATGCTACATGGCGACATGCGTGGCTAATCCAATCCACCCGTTGGTGCCGTCCCTCCCCGAAAACGGCTACAGGCAAAAGAGACAAGAAGACAAGACGGTCTGAAGGTCAAGGTCAAGGTCATACATGGGTCAATATTGATAATCTAGGATGCCATACCATACGATCGTAAGTACCACGGTTCAATAATACTAACTCCAACCTCAATGCCGATTGCTGGATACTCAATGCTCAATGCTGCATGGATGCCCTTCCCCTGCTCTTTGCAAAATACACCAACGCTTGCTTGCTTGATGACCCTATAAACAGCCAAAAAAACTGCCAGTTTCAACAATCAAAACTGTCTCCATCAATCAATCCTTGTTGCCAGCCTTGCTCGAGCCGTGATTGTGCACTCTGCCCTCGTTGTCGCCGTCGCCATCGCCGCCATACCTCCCCACCGTCACCCACTGCAGCTTGATCCTCTTGTCGTCTCGTCGTTCTTGCAATCCGCTCCAGCCCAACCTCTCTTCTCCCATCCTACCAAGTCCGCCTTCTTTGATCCAGCATCCGATCACGGCGCGCGCCCAGCAGAGTTTCTCTTTGATCTCGTTTGTGCGCACAATCTCCATCTCGGACCGACGCAGCGTGTCGCTCATGATGTCTTCCAATGGCAAGCTCAACTCATCGCGACGCTCCATTGCTTCCCCGCTGAGTCCGCCATGGTTTGCAAGTCCAATGGCATCAGTGGGCATGAGATAGACGCAGTTAACTCGGTACTGCCCGTCCTCACCTTCTTCCTCGGTAGCCGGCCCGAGGATGGTGACCTTGGTATGATCCGGAAAATTGAATTGCAATCCTCCATCTGCAAATCTCCAGACCCCAACATTCCCCACTCGTTGGTAGAAGTGCACAAACCGTTCGCTTTTGCCCGCTGCCCTGCCACTGGTCGAGTCGTCATGCCTTCCCTGTTTGTTCATATATTTTCCGAACTTGTCCAAAAGCGCAACCTCCTTCATCCGCTCAGCCTCACTGCCCGCCAACCGCATCTGGATCGCGTTGGCGGCCGCCACTTGATTCGGGTGTGTTTCCAGGTCCAGCAAGAATTGTCGTGCAGGGACGTCGAGTCGCTTCAACCCCGCTTCGTAATCACTCTGTTCATAGAACTCGACGTCCGCAGCATCGGCTCCTTGTGGCACAAATTGGTACTCCAAACCCTTGGCTCGCCGGATGGTGTGGCTGCTGGCATGGCGCACCACCACACAACTACTCGGCAAAGAGTTGTCTTCCGATGATTTGAGTATCATGCCTACCGTGCCATCCGAGAGGATGTATGCAATACCATGCCGGGTGGAATAGTCTACCCACTTGTCAACACGAGGGTATGTGGATCGGGTCCGGGGTTTTCTGGTGCCGTATGCTGATCTTGGACGCCTTCCTGCCTCGTCGAACCTGCGAGGATCAAGAGCCTTGTGAAGGCTTTGCAGTGAATTCAGAACGTCGATATTGGAAGACCGCGGGACCAATACCGCACGGTCTGTTCTGCCAATGATTCGAGGTTGATGTTTCGGAAGAACCACTGTGCGCGGGCGCTCCGTCGTCGATCCTACCCGCTGTTTCTGTTCGGCGCCGACTAGCCTCTGCTTCTCTGCCGTCCCTGATATGGGTTGTCTGTCATTTGCACTGGTGGGTTGTAAGACATGTGAAGGTACATCTCCCATTGACCCTGTCAGGTCAGGAGAAGAGGACGACTTCGAACGCGCAGACGCGGCTTCTGCTGCCACGGCCGACCGTGAACTGCTCTTTGCCCGCTGGCTTTCAGAATTTGAGGCCATGGCGGTGATTCCGCTTCTGATCCTCCGAACCTCTGGCCTGCTTTGGCTCAGCTCTTGTTTGACAATCTCTTTCGTAAAGTCAGGCGCAGTCGTCGATCGTGGTAACGTCCTAGATGTCGGGGGTATTGGATCACGCGACGCCGCACTTCTTGTGGTACGGATAGTGGCCGCACGCATCGGCCGTTCTCTCAAAAGTGGTTGAAGAGGAGGCTCAACAATTTTCGGTTGCTCTGCCTTTGGGATCTCCTCTGGCGCAAGTGGACCTCGTCGCACTGCTCCCGATGGGATTGCTTGTTGCCTTTGTTGGGCCGCGAAGCTTTGAAACGGTCTGGATGTGGCGCTCGCCGGCGGTAAAGGAACCTTAGATCCGCCAACTGGTAGTGCCTCTGTTTCGGTTTTGCCGCTTCGTAAAGAAGACGGTTCTGGCTGTTCCGGAAAAGGTTTTCGGCTGCGGACACGTGTCGTTAACAGTGGATGTTTCTGCCGTGCTGTCCAGTCCGCGTGCGCGTCCGAGAACTGTTTATATAGCGTCCCAGGCGGTAAGGGGACGACCGGTGCACACCCTTCTCTATTTTCAGCCTCGATTTCCACCAGGGTCGAGATGTCTAGACCAGTACCGACTCCCGCGCGAGGTCGACCATCCGAACCGATACCGATGCCACATTCGCGGCATATTCTGCTGTGACTGATTCCGTAGCCCGATTGTACTTTGTCTCCACGGGGGTCAGCATTCTCCAGCCATGTCGGATTCGCTCTGAGGCAAGAAATGTCCAGTTCGTCCGCGATCGCTCCCATCGTGAAGAAGTCATGTTCGACCAACTCGTCCATCTCTGGTCTCTCGACAGAATTGAGGTTCAAGCATGAAGCCACAAAATCTTTCGCCTGTTGTGGAATGTAGTTTTTGCTGTCCATCCTCCACTCATATTCCAGTGTTCTCAGTTTAGTGTAGATTTCTTGTTGGGTCTTTGACTGGAAGGGAGGAGTGCCCATGAGCATGGCGTAACAAATCACCCCAACAGCCCAAGTGTCGACTTTGTTGTCGTGGCCACGGTGGCCGGACTTGCTCAAAATCTCTGGGGCGATGTAGTTTGGGGTGCCGCATAGCGTGGTCCGACGATCATGCTCATCTGCCATGACCGCCGCCAATCCAAAATCTCCAATCTTGATATTCATACGGGCATCCAGGAAAATATTGCCCATCTTCAGATCTCGATGAATGACAGATCGCTTATGCATATATTTGACCCCTCCACAGATCTGAATCATGTACCGACGTACTTCAGGAAGACTGAGACAGGAGCGGGCTTTGACCATTTCTGTAAGACTCCCATTGGGGCACATCTGAAGGACGACGTAGGTGTGCTCGTCGATGGTGAACGCACGAAGAAATTCGACAATATTTGGATGGTGCATTTTGGCATGAATTTGCAACTCAGTTCGGAACTTCTCCATCATCTTTTTCTGCTCAACCTTTGCCTTGACGACTTTGAGGGCAAATACTTCAAATGTTGTTTTTGACCGTCCCTCGAAACAAACTGCGAATCCGCCTTTTCCCAGCTTCCTGCCCATTATGTAGGTTTCTGGCGACGGACCAGGCTCTGTTATTGACGGCGGTGGTCTCCATCTGTCATCAATTCGATCGGGATTGGTAAGTTTTACGTCCGTCTTTGGTTTGGAGTCGACTTTGGGCTTTTTTGTAGCTTTTGGAGGAGGAGCCATGGGGATATTTGCTGACCGTGGCGAGAGGACCTCCATGTCAGATGTGAAGGCCTTGCCACACAGCAGTGTTCTATCTCAGGCTGCCAATGTTTGGGCGAGATAATGAGAGAGGCCGTTGCAATTGAATTATGGGAACAACAGGGCGGATGTAGCATGCAATTCATTGGTGACGAAAGGGGATGGAAAGTAAACATTGACCAACCGTAACAGGCAAAGATCAGTTATCTCTTGGCATGTTTGTCGACAGAGCGGAAATTTCATTTTTCCGGTGAGGGGCTTTTGGGCCTGCAAGCTCCCCACAGGCACCCAACTGGAGCTCAATAGCCTACGGCCCCGAGCCAGGCCATAACAAGGCCGACTGAAAAGTCGAGACTCACGACTTAACCCAAGTCTCTTCTTTGAACTGCTTGATCGTTGTCAGTATGTTCTGTGGCTTGAAAGTACGACATGATGGTGAACGATAGCTAATGGCCGAGTTGTTTGACTGCGGTTAATGGCGGACTTTGGAAGTCTATCACTTTACAGGCACTTATAACGACATGTCGCTGACTCTCAAGTTCACGTCGCTGGCAGTTCGTACACTTTCCAAACCAATAGCTGTGAGTTCGAGGGATTCTCTGCTGCCAACTCTTCTCTTGCCTGACTGTCGAAGAATTTCATCAAGAAACAAGCCCGGGAGCATGAAGGCTTCCGCCGAACCTGCATCTCTTTTGCCCAGACTCTCCACCGAATTGATATGCGATGGCGTATCGGTCTGCTACAAGATGCCGCAGCTCTGGAAAAACAGGTTGCGAAGGAGCAGGCTGCAGAGGCTGCAAAAAGGCATAAACATGCCAACATCCCTACCGTCAAGACGGAAGCACAGATGAAAGCTGAAGAGGAAGCTGCTGAAAAGGCCGCCAAAGAAGCACAAGAGCCACCAAAGCCGCGGCCGAAACCCAAGATTAGACCACTATCCGAAGCCAAAGCTATCGAGTCGGGCGCCAACTTTATAAGCGAGGCATTTCTTTTTGGTGTTGCGGCTGGTCTGATCCTATTTGAGTCGTGGCGGTCGGGCAGGAAAGAGACCCAGCGGAGGGATGATGTCGCCGAGAGACTGAACGACCTGGAGGAGTCTGAAAAGGCGGCCCGAAAAGCCTTGGTCGAGCTGGAGAGGGAAGTCCTCCGCCTGCGAGCACAAGAGAAGAATGGAAAGCCAGCAACCGCAATAAGATTATTGCCCAAGGAAATATACGAAGAAGACAAAGACAAAGAGGACGACAAGGCGGCGCAACCGCTGGGCTACTGGTCACGCCTGACATCTCTGATATCTTTGTCTAAGAGTGACAACGAGGCAAAGGAGACCCTGGCAAAGGACGAGCCAGGACCGGCAGAGAAGATCCTTGTCCAATCTGATAAGGCCTTGGAGGAGAAACATAGACAGAAAAAGGCCTTGGAAGAGGCAGAAAAGATGGCTGCTGAGCAGAAACCGAAAAAGTGAGGAGCTGAAGGAAGATGAAGACGCATATACAAGGTGCCCACCTTCTTGGCACCAGAATGATGTTGACCAGAACTCCCGACTCAACATATGTACATTTATTCACCTTGATACAGAGATACCCCTGATTGAAAAAAAAGTCCTCCAGTATGATGCACGCGAAGTTTTCTCTGTTGCTTCGAACTCGACCAGAATGGCGCACGCTGGGGCCTGCGCTGGTAGCCTCGACTTCGATCAACTTCCAAGGTCAATCCTGGACACACAGAAACAAGAGCAAGCTGATGAAATATAGCAGAAGGCGATACGACCGACTGTGATCTTATCGTTCCGCTCTCCGGACAAAATCAAACAGCCACGCTCCATGTCCTCTTATTGTGGACGTCCGAGCCCATGATCTCCGTCGAAGAACGACTACGTCCTTTCTTAGCACGGGCGAAGCAGATGACAGATCATTATGTGGCCATGGTGACTGAGAACAGGGAGAAGACCTCCATGTGCGCCGTTCACATTCTCTCGTCTCTGCAACATCGGTAAGGGTGCTCGCAATTCCCACTAAACAGCGGCTTGCTCGCCATTCTAACCTCGTGGGCTACCTCCTAGAATGCTAGGTGTCTCACCCGTCCCCATTCTTACTGCGTCGTCGATCGAGAGCATCGTACCTACAGTCGAGCGCTACATTCAAGAGCTGAACAAGAAGTACGAGATCAAGATACCGCCAATGCCGATGCCAACCACCCTGGTCGCTCATGCCAGCACCTCGGCGCCGGCTCAGCCCCTCTCCGCACACGATGCCAATGTGTTGACTGACCTGTGCTCTTCCATTCGAGGTTTGGAGGAAGCTACCAGGACAAACAACGGAAGGGAGCGATTAGCCGAGTATCTGGGACCGGTGGTCACAAAGACCCTTGTTGACTTCTGGGAGGATGAATGGATCATTTGATTGCACAGCGCCTGAGGTAGACTCTTCAAATGCGAGGGAATCAGAACCCTTCAATGTAAGGCGCACCCATTCATGCAGGCTTGACCACCCTTTCACCCGCTCTCACCAACACTATGATCCTTGGAACCCGTGTGATCCATCCTCCTCGGCACGTCTCGCTGGTTTCTTTTCATCCACGCCCACACTCTGTGGAATTTGCGACAGCGGTGGAAGGCGCTGAAGTCTGGACACCCATCTGGCTTGGTGGGGTCGTTGATGATCAGCAGCGGCGTCACATCGCTCTGGCACATGATGGTCTTGCGCAATGTTTCGATACAGTGGTCGACGTGCATGCGGAGCCCAACCGGCGAGACTTTGAGGTCTGCCGGCGTGCGCACTGTGTCGGTGTGTCGGGCATAGTACGCAGCCCAGCTGTGCTGGCGGACTACATCCTGTAAGGTCCATGAAACAAGACGTCAGCCACGGTTTGAGGTCACAAACTTTATCGGCGGCCTTTCCAGGTGCTTACGAGGCAATGGAGTTGATGGAAGACCTCCAATGACGCTTGGAAGTGGTCAGTACTTCCGTTGATTCTGGCCACAGTACGGCCATCAGGGAGTTGCTCTTGTCTATTCAGCGCTGACAGCTTGTCGCGGGGAATGGCGACGTAGCCAAAGTGCCAGAGCTCTTCCCACGCGGCATCCAGCTCTGGGGTCGGCGGTCCACGGTATCGGCTCCCGGCAGCGAAGTCATTGTCGATGTCGAGGTCAAAATATTCCACTTGCTCTTCCGCTGGCGCTGTCATACAAGACGTCAGTCCCCATAAACGAAAGCCTCGCAGACTGATACCCACACCATAGGTCATTTGTGCTATTACAAGCCCCACAATACCATTCTGCCGTGATCCAGAAGGTGATGCCGGAAGCCATCAGCGCTACTATGATGGTGAGAAGAATTGGCAGCGAGGCAGATCTGACTTTGTGTGGTATTCCTTTCTCCAGCTTTCTCCTGGTTGCTTCGTTCCAGAGGAACGGGGCGACCTCTTCAATTATACCTTCGCTTTGAACCTCCTCCCCTTCGAAGTGACCGTCGTTCAGTGTCCTGCGAAGGAAGCCCATATTGATGGCGGGAAGCTACAAGAAGTCGGCCGCTGGTATCAGGTTTGCAGCCAATCTGACGTTCTCAATGTCGAGGAGAGTGATCGAGACGTACGCCTAAGCTGGGAGCACTGGCAAGAGCGTACTTGAAGCCGCTTTTGCTGCGGTCCACTCTATCTCGTTTGATGCCAGACTCGTCGCGCTCACTCCACCTTCTTCTAAGCGAGAAGATCCCTATCGACAGAAGGATCGAATTGGTCCTTTGTGTCACATTACCGTTCGCCAGCATTTTTCGTCAATCAAGTAAAATTGCTCAGAACACAAAAGATCGGGGCTGTGAGTTTATCGAGGAATCGCTCCGTGCTTTCTACGGCCATTGCCATTTCTCAGTGGAAGAATCGGGTGCCTGCTGATCAATAACCTTGTTTCTCAAGAGGACAGGCATGTTGATGGTGTACCCATTCATGGATAGCTGCTTACCGTTACTTCTGACACATCCTAGGGATGCAGACTTCCCCCATCGCGTGGAAGCGCATAGGGGCTCACCTTGTCCGTTCCTCCAGGCAATCCCAGATCAAGTATAAGAGTTAGCGATGCTCTCATAGCCAAAGTCCCAGCATGCCCCCTACTGCCCAACACCTAGACCATCTGAGATCAACTAACACCCTGCTACACCATGTTGCTTTCACCATTGTCATCCTTGCTCCTCTCAGCAATTCCTGTCTTGGCACTACCAGTCGACAAATTCAACGACATGATACAAGGCCAATCGAAGCGTGGCTCTGCAGCAGAGTATGTTGGGGTTGCCGAAAGAGCAGAAATGGTGGAAGGGGCACATTTCGCGGCTGTCAACCTGGCGGACGTTGTCCAGGGAACACACAATCTTGAGAGGCGCTTGTTCGCCGCTGAATATCTTGAAGGTGCGGACGGCGAGGAGGTGGTTGAAGCCTATCCAGCGTATGTCGACGCCGCCAACTCTGCGAAAATTTTAGGAGAGGCACGAGACTTGACCAAGCGTGTGTTTGCCGCCGAGTATATCGACGACACTCATGGCGAGGAATTTATTGAGGCATATCCGGCCTATGTCAACGCAGCTGACTCGAAAAAGGTGATGGGGGAGTAATTCAAGAAATTTGAAAGTGAGGAGGGAGATAGAACCATGGTCTTTGCAACGTTATGAGATGATAATATGTCCTGGCTGGAGTGAAACAATATGGACCAAGATTGTGAGACAAGCATTGAACAAGTACGCCGCAATATTCAAGGTTCACCTGCCATAAAAGTAAAAATCCGAGCCCGATGTTGGATTAATAGTAGATGAAATCTCGGTATTCAGTACTGCCTGGTACAGCAAGATCACAATTCCTCGCGACATCATTGTTGTCCCTCTTCTCCGTCGTATACATAGGGTCAACTCCCAGTAACTGAGATCGGAGGTAAGGTAGGCATGGTCAGGTCTGGAGAGATCGTCCGTTGGGCATTAAAACCCCCCCTCAAATTTCTTGTATTGACATCTGCCTGTGCAAAGCTCATGCTTAGTGCCCATGCTGCTGAGGCAATTTCCGGATACCTAGGGACTTTGAGCGGGATGCTAGGCATATGTGGCATATCTAGTAGGCTCGCGTCAATCTAGGCTAAAGGTTTGGTACGCATGGAGGACGCAGGACATTTTGAAGTGCGCGGCTGATATGCTAAAAGCCAAGAGAGATGACGGAACATCAACGCCGCTTGCGTGTCGTAGTCTCACAGCCACAGCGAGGCGTGGCGATGGAGATTGGAGGATACGAGTGCCTGTGTCAGGACTCATGAGGAGAAAAGAGGTTGTGGAGAGGCTGTGAGGCTGCAACATGGAACTGACTAACCGCAGCATCCGCTTATAGCGCCGTTGGTATGTCATACCCAGGTAGTCACTCCGGCGCCTGTGTCGGTGCCTGAACTGGTTACAAGCATCGACAAAAGCACCGCCGCACTCACTTGCCAATCTCCATCAGATCAGCCCAAAGGCCACCCAGCACTTTTCCAATTGTCCTTCTTGCGTGATTCTTTGCTTTGACAGTTCTCCGGGTTTTTCTATCCTCGTATTCCGTATATGTCCCTCGCGCGAACCGACAAACTCTTTCTCATCCTATCTGCCCTCTCCGCGCTTATGTCCTAATCACTTCGCACCGTCACCATGGTCAGTGTCCCCGCGCCATATTCACGCTTAGACCGACACACTCACTTTTACCTCCTAGGGTCAAACAAAGCGCCGCGAAGGCAAGACCTCTCGCGCACCTAAATCGTCTCTTTTCGGCGGCGGCAAGTCTTCACACGCGGATTCCGGGCAACCGCAGATCAAAAAAGCGACCTTTGAGATCACGAAAAAGAAGGAAGTGGGCGTCTCAGATCTCACACTGCTGAGCAAAGTCTCCAATGAGTCAATCAATGACAACCTCAAGAAGCGCTTTGAACATGGCGAGATCTACACCTATATCGGCCATGTGTTGGTCTCAGTCAACCCCTTCCGAGACTTGGGGATCTACACAGACCAGGTCGTCCAGAGCTACCGTGGGCGCAATCGTCTCGAAGTCCCCCCGCACGTGTTTGCCGTTGCAGAGTCGGCCTACTACAACATGAAGGCATACAAGGACAACCAATGTGTCATCATTTCTGGTGAGTCGGGCGCAGGCAAGACGGAAGCCGCCAAGCGCTTGATGCAGTACATTGCCAGTGTCTCTGGCGGAACCGACTCTAGGATCCAGAGAACCAAGGATATGGTCCTGGCCACAAATCCCCTCCTCGAGTCCTTCGGCAACGCCAAAACACTACGAAACAACAATTCCTCTCGTTTCGGAAAATACCTCGAGCTCGAGTTTAATGAACAAGGTGAGCCTGTGGGGGCCAAGATCACAAACTACCTGCTGGAAAAGAGCCGGGTGGTCGGACAGATCACAAACGAGAGGAACTTCCACATTTTCTATCAGTTCACGAAAGCTGCCCCGAAGGAGTACAGAGATTCTTTTGGTGTACAGCAACCTCAGTCGTACGTATATACGAGCCGGTCGAAATGCTTCGATGTACCAGGAATAGACGACGCGAACGATTTCCGAGAGACGGTAGAAGCCATGCAGATTATTGGTCTAACAAAGGCTGAGCAGGACAATATCTTCCGGCTTCTGGCTGCCATTTTGTGGATCGGCAATATCACATTCAGGGAGAATGATCAAGGAGGTGTCGACATTGCAGATACATCCGTGGTGGATTTTGTCGCCTATCTGCTAGAGGTGGAATCATCTCATGTGCACAAAGCGATGACCATCAGAATCGTCGAAACGGCCCGCGGTGGAGGACGCAGAGGGTCCATCTACGAGTCGCCCCTGAACCCAGTCCAGGCTAGTGCTGTCCGAGATGCGCTTGCCAAAGCCATATACTTCAATCTGTTCGATTGGATTGTGGCGCGTACCAATGTCTCGTTGAGATCACAGGGCGTGGTGAAGAACACGATTGGTATTCTTGATATCTACGGGTTCGAAATTTTTGAGAAGAACTCGTTCGAGCAGCTGTGCATCAACTACGTCAACGAAAAATTGCAACAAATCTTCATCCAACTGACCTTGAAAGCCGAGCAGGAAGAGTATGCCCGCGAACAGATTCAGTGGACCCCGATCAAATATTTCGACAACAAAGTCGTCTGCTCTTTGATCGAGGACAAGAGACCCCCGGGTGTTTTTGCTGCTCTCAACGACGCCTGCGCAACAGCCCATGCAGACTCCGGAGCTGCCGATCAGACCTTTGTTGGTCGATTGAACTTTCTCTCAAGTAACCCCAACTTTGAGAGCAGACAAGGTCAATTTATCATCAAGCATTATGCAGGCGACGTGAGCTATCAGGTTGCAGGAATGACGGACAAGAACAAGGATCAACTTCTGAAAGATCTTCTGAATC